GGTTTCCATCACTGAATAGCAGGTCCTCGTGACTATGGGACTTTCCCCGGCTGCTGTTCATCACACCAAAGTGTGTAATAAAAAACCTTATGGATGCATACTTAGGATAACGGACTGGTTTTCTGTGTGTGAACAGTTAACCATGCGTGGTGCTCAACCTGCTTCTTCGTCCCGAGTTTCAACGAAGACTGGAAGTTACTCGTTCACTGTGTGGTCATTGCGTAGTGCCTGTTTTTGCCATCCTGGCCAAACGTCTTAGCTGTAAATAAAGTTGCGTATCGGGTTACACAGACTTGGTTCGTTGTCCAATTTTACGTTATCCTCAATACAATATTCCTGATGACACTTATCCGCTTGTGTAAATACAGGTGCTTTTTCTTTTACCTTTGGAAAAATTCCTGCTCGCCATAATGAAATCTTTCATCATCATTTCGTCCCATAGATTATTAATTTGGTTGCTGCACTGCGTGACTCAAAGAGCCCCCAGGAATTGGTCCGCATGCCTGTATTAACTTTGGAACGTCATGTGCCAAAGCGTCGACCTCGTCCGCGATGGCCACATCAACGTCTGGCTGCTGGCCTAGCTCAACAACGCATGACGGATCGGTTCCAACAGGGACTGATGGGTGCCACCGGCCGCCGCTCATCTCAGCGTCCCTCCACAGGTATGCTGGTCTGTTCCGCACCATCCTCGCCGACAGTTTCTGTTTCGGATTTGGATCAACGAAACCCCAGTCCCGGTTGTTTGAGTGCCGGCGATTTGGCTATCGGTGAGAATGACACGGGGGTCGATTCTGCCTTTGATGAATCAATGCATCAAGGTTTGGTGGCGCTCCCAGTCTCCCACAGCAAAACATCTAGAAAAGCTCCATCAGATACAGCTGACCAGGCAAGCACCAGCCAAGCCGCACCACAGGATGAGGGGGACACGAACGAACATGAGGAACAATTCAATCTGCGCTACTATAAGAAACCTCTGTTTAATTGGTTCTAATCCTCACAGTACCCATCCCTGCTCCATCCACGTGTATCGGATAAAACGGTTAGTTGCCCGCATTTTCGCAACGGTCGGCTGTTCTCCCCTCCACTTTTCAGCCCCAAACAATCCGTGCTGATCCTCTGGTTGTGTGTGTTTCTTCGTTCCATCTGTTCATCTCACCTCGACGAGGTTTTTTTCTACATTCAGCTTACCACAGTGTCGTATGCAGTTCGCATCACCACTGAGGGTAGGTTCTTCCGATTATCCCGGTATTGCCTTTCCCTTCTTTGGTGCTCGGCCAAACTCAGAATGGAATCGAACTGATCGAGTCTATTTTCCCACCTCCCCAAACTCACGTACTGTCTACCGTGCATAATTGTACACACNCTTCTGCATTCGATTGTATCCCGCGATCAGTCCTGATTTCACCCCCAGCCCCAGTCGAAGCTTTCCCCTGTGGCAGTGCTGTACGACCCAGTCCCAATTGCAGACATTTGTGTCTATTTTTTTGTAAATTTTCACACTGTGATCGTGATTTCTTTCTCTCGCCGTCAACTCCATTCTTGCTCGGCATGAAAAAAAGAAAAAATATGATATCTGTTTCCATGTCTTTTGAGGCTAGAAGGAATTTCATCCATGTTGTCTAGACGTGTGTACGTCAATTGCGGTTTGTGCAACTCCTATACACTTACACTTCCAATACGCGATCATGCTGGTGGTTGCCTTTTGGCTGCCCCATTTGGTTGGCCACTGATAAGAGCATTGGCGAAATCAAATAATAGATGTGGATAAGCCAAATTTGCATTGGTAAGTGAGTGAGTGCACCGATTTCACCGTTTTGCCACACTTGATCTTGTGTCAAACTGTGAATGTCTGGTTCCGACGTCCTCTATTGAAATACACTTGACGTGACCTACTTCACCGAGTCCCCTGATTCCCATGCATTTATGCCAACTGTTAAGTCTTATGCCAATACGTGCGCCTCTTGTCTAGGCCCCAACAATTGGAGAACACGGCTGAGAAACGACACTCATAGTGTATTGTTGATGTGTGGTAAATTGGGCGTACGAGAAAAAGACGTGATGACGCACCAATCAGATCGCGATCTTGACACTCAGGTTGATCGATCGGACGACAGCTATTTGATTCGCCTTGGTCATCCAATCAGGATTCGATTCGGCTTGGGTGTCACCAGGCTATCACCTGATCACCCTTGAACTCGGCAAGCATCTTACACACAAGAGGCTTCTCTGGTGATATGCGTAACACATATCCCCTACTGTCTTGGTCTGTGGTGTTTGATCAGTTGCTTCAACGCATCATCATCACCGTACAGCGAAATACAGAGAAGCGAACTTCCCTGATCGCTGCCGAACTCGCAGTGCATATGCATCGGGGTTTGATGGATAGGTGCTGCTAGGGTGTCCAGCCGCTAAGCAGGAGAACGATTAGGGTTCTCAACCAAAGCCTAGTTCTGACAAAATCCCGCAAGGCAGCGGGTGAAGCGAAGTGGAGGCCCATTCACTTGGATTGATTACTCTTCTACTATTTTTTTACCGATTGAAACACAAATTCTAGTCGAACCCCCAACCTGGAGGACCAGGAGACTCACTTTGTCTGACCTCTACCCTTCGACCTTCCAGGCGTCAAAGTGCAGTCTCGTCGTGATGGATATTTCCTAGTATAAGGTTTGGACAAAGTTCAACTGTTACCCCATCTTGTTTCTGAGTTAAACGTGTAGAATAGGATTTGGGTGAATTTCGGTAAACGTTTATACGCGAGGGTATTTGTTAGAATTCAGTGTTTCGAGAGATGGGAATGAAGGCACGTCACTTATGCTTGCCATCGGTAGTCCAGATATGTGAATTCTCTGCGCAAATTTCACACAGGAAATTGTATGATACTGAAAGTTTCACAACGAACTTATTCATATGAATAGAAAAAATGCGACCAATAATCGTTATACCGCGGCGTAAATCCTGTTTAAGTAAACCAGGAAAATAACGGAAACAATAAAGTAAGATAGGTAGAACACTGATACACCAAAGTAGAAATAATTGATCGGGATGTGTGAAATTGCATGAGCTTTCGTATTTGGAATGATAGGTGTCACAGTATACCAATGCACTTATGGATGTGGGTTGACCAGCAAAGACTTCTATCGATAGTTATGTCCAAATATTCGACTGAGTTTGTCCCGTCTAAAGGATAAACACTGTTCTGTTCAGTTAAGTTTTTACAGTCATTAACTATGTACTTTCGTGCGCCGTTTTCGGTTGCTGCCCATTTGGATAACAGCACAATGAAGATTGGAATGTTGAAGGCAGAGTCAAACAGAAGATCGAATTCATGTAGACGGGTTGCAAGAATAATGACCAGATGCACGAGCGCCGCTGTTCGTGACACTCAGTCGCGTCACTTAATATCTCTAACTGCCGGTTGCCATTACCTTGAGATCCCCATCCAGGGCACCTAACGCGGCCCATATGATTGAGTCTCAGTTTGACCACCCTTGGCCTTTTTTCGATCAACTACCGGCTTCGCTACACATCGCGCACTGTAGCAATCTATTTGGTAACATGCGCAACATGTTTCCCAACCAGCGGAGTCTGTCGGATGTGAAGAGCGCAAAACTACATAAACGTTCAACACACTTAGTCCCGATTGGGATGTGAATAACTGAATTTGAGATAGATTATCTGTAAGGAAGCTTCGATCGCAGGAAAAATAACTGGGTTGGTACAGCACAAAATTATCTGCATATTATAAAACACGTACAGTAGAAATACAAGGGACATCACAGAAGAACTTGGAAAATAAGTACGGGGACAGACCTCCGGAGGTTTTGGCTAAGGGTTTACATGAAATCTTTTCAAGTCTAGTGGTTTGTGCATCTTCAGTAAAGTAGTTGGATAACTAAGCTTACAAATGCTTGAAGCCTTCAAACAATTTCAGTTCCTATAACATCATTGATCGAGGAATGAAATCGCATACCAACTTAAGATATCCTTGACGCCGTCGCAACATCCGGCTGCCTGTGCAGGGTTGAGTACATGCTGCAGCAGTTTGGTCAGTTCTACTATACGACGAGGAGATTTGGTCATTACATAAATAAGATAACGTGGACTGTGAGTGGTAGAACACCGCTTTCTACGCCGCATTTCATGCATCTGGCAGGAAAACCGGACAAACAATGCCGAGGTTGGGCAAACAGTTTTAGGCAATCGCGGTCGCCCTCTGGAGCAGGGGGTTGACCACCATAAGCGACGTTCGTTGGCTTATGTGTTGCGCATGTCAACCGTTAGATGGCTAAGGCGTATGCTGTCTACTGAGTTAGGTAATATTGGGTGGAAACGAGAAAACAATGATCAGCTCAAGATCCGGCATCAGTGTGTAAAAACTCTTACCAAGAGATTCAGTCATATAGGTCATATAGGTCGCGTTAAGCTCCCAAGATGGGGTCCTCGGGATCATTGTAATCAACGGTTAGAGACATGGGTAGGGGTGTGTCGTAAACAGTGGCGTTCATGCGTCTTACTTTCTTTGCAACCTTCGTGAATTTTTTTTCGCATAGACACTGATTTTAACATTTCAATCATCCCTTTATTCTTTCATCCAAGTGAGACAGCAATCGAAACCGGCTCAAGAAAGCTTATGGTTTGTGTTTGTAAAAACTGGAATCGGATTTTGAGGAATATCCGAACAGAATTAGTTATAGAACGGTTCATAGTTGAAACTGCATCCTAAGTGAACCTGTTAGGTTTGTAAGCAAATTGTTTATGGACTGCTGAAGACGTCTGAGAATAGGCTTTCGATCAACTTAAGGACTGCAGAGGCTAATGCTGTGGGAAGAAAATGTTTGTACCAAGACAAAAGATTCAGATGCTTTGGGAACAGCTATGATTGTGACCAGCTTCCGACCGCTTGGGCAAGTAGATGTGTAAAGCAATTCATTTGCAATGGAGGTGATTGCCTCAGCTAGGGACAGGCACCAATTTTTGATAGTACCAGAGAAATGCCATCTGGGCCGGAGGAATTATAACTACCACATCACAATCTGAGAAAGGTTTCACATTACAAATTTTGTGTAACCAGTAGGTAAGAAGAATGTCCGACGACTGGCGTAGGAATGCTGAACAGGGATCGCCAAAAATCCTCCTCCGAACTTGACTTATTCTTCTTACAAAGAAACCTGATACTTTGCCACAGGGGTTTGCTCTTTTTAGTTCTCATTATTCAGCCGGATAGTAATACGTCTAATCTCTCTATTTCGGTATTGATAAGGCTTGATCAGTGCCTAACAGCTAAAGCATTATGTGACTTTTATGCACGTTCCCGTTGTTTTCACAGTGTTATTTGTGGTTGAGAGTTTATCCTTCCGTACAAAATTGAGGAAATTAAAAGTGGTATTAATTGTTTGAGTGAATAGGGGGGGGGGNGAAAGGAAAGTTGAAAGTGGATTCGAAAGGAAAATGGAGAAGTTCAGTGGACTAAGGTTGAGAAGAAGAAGAAGCTTTTCCAAGAGATTCATTGAGAAGTGATACGATTTGTTTGTTTCACCTTACAGTAAAAGCATAAATGAGTCAAATAATGACACGATCTGATTGCGCACAGCAATATGCTCTGTACAAGTTAATGAGAATTGTGAGTAAAACGGGAAATTCTTGGGTGAGGTTTCATGATGAAACATTCAATACCTCTCGATCAGTACTGAGAAATGGCATTGGACTGGCCACACCAGAAAACATTGGCAATACCCTGCAAAACACTTCTCCTTTCTCCGATCCCAAGATTCTGACGGTGAACTTAAAATCTGTTCAACTGCGCTAGAGTGTCGTCTATATAGTTATTCAATTAGGAATGTTGCACACGGACCACGCAGATGTTCATATGAATTCTTGAGCGGAGGATGATAGTCAAATGCGGCAATTTTGGAAACAGTGATTGAATGTTATTGCCGCCTAATGACGAGCATTCGTCTTGGTGGGAGAGGTATAATGCCGGGGTAATTTGCCAGCCTGCGTGCTTACGTTTTTTATTGTTGTGCAAGCTGTACAGTGAGAACCTGGGGTCGCACAAGCCGATAAACTATCAAAAGTTTTTCTGGCATGTTTGAGATGAAGGATAAATGATAAGGATTGAAAATGTAAAAATTCCAAATTTGGGGAAGCGTGTAAGTGTAGCACAGCCAATCGAAAGGCGGGCATCGATAGTCAGGGTTTCTGAACATCGTAAACGGGCTACTATCTTCTAGATTTATTTCAATAACTCCAAGTCCGAGATTTCTCTTCGTATTCGGAGTATTTATCCTTTCGTGAGACCGGAATATGGTCAAAATTCTAATATGAAGATGTGTCAGCATGCACACACTGGATACACTAGTTCATTATAATGATTGTAATAATAATAATTGTTATTGTTATTATTACCATAATATATCAAACTCGTCTGTGTGCAAGTTGTGGGGTATATCGCTGAGTATCACAAACAATGGAGCTCATGCATTTATTCGATACCTTAGCAAATTTGGTTGACCTTTCTAATGTTTTTTTCAGGTACTACTCGCTGCTCTCACTTCTTCCCTGAAGCTTCCCTCACAGAAAACTGCAGCGTGAAGTGAAAAGTAGAGGTTTGTAAAGTGAACTGTCGTACTACGATCAAATATGATCTATCACTTATGATACGATATAGGCCAATTGGCATATAATTCTTTGGCAGACCCATAAGTTTTAGACTGCCTGAGCAAAATCATTCGATTTTCTTAAGGAGCTATTACCAGAGCTAAGACAACTGGAGGTTGGCCTGAAAAATAATGGGCCAGTGTAAGACAAGGTCATTGAAAGTCAATGTTGGTCCGACACCCCCAGGGGCTATCATTCAGATACTCAGTTGCCAAATCGAGCTGATGTTCATCGCTACGAGAGCCACCTAAAAGGAATCTGTATGCATCTCTAGGGAAAACATCTGCTTCGCGTAAAGTAGTGACATGGTCACCATTGATAGAAGTGAACATCTCGTCGGCGCGTTTACTTGGTATGAAGCGATCATGACTGTGATTCACACACAACTCAATTGTATTCACCTTCCCCCCTCCCAGGTTGGTTTTGTTTCTATTCCTCAGGGGTAACAAGAAAACGTAAAATCTTGGGAGCCGCAACAGGATAAAGATACAGAAAACACGTGGGCTAGAAATTGGGTAGATGCCATCGTTACCGATTTTCAACCACATTACCCCGTGTTCCTATTCACGGATTAGGTCACTCCAACTTGAGGCCTAACGCAATCCAGTTCTCTGGTGACACCTTTCCGTTCTTTATACCATGTGATGATGAGCTCATCTTCAGTCTTCAAGCAACAAATGTCTCTCTCGGCAAACACTTTTTTCTCTAGATGTCTATCCAATGAAATGCTCAGACGATATCCCAGCTGTTGCATTGTACAGGGTTATGCGCTTGCATTTATATGCTAACGACACTATCCTATTCTCCCCCTCACGTCTACTCTCGGCCTAGCTTTTCTGGTCTCGCTGTCAAACTCGGGTATCTGGTGGTTGGAGACCGCTGATCCGTATCCCCTTAACCCAAGTGAACGCTTCCAAAGAAAAAGTGAATTATCTACGCTTTGATATTTTCAAACACAGAAATCAATAGTTGGTAATTCTGCCCAAACTGGACTTCGCTCCCGGTAGTCAAGAACCGCGGGTCTATTATCTTATCATAATTGATGGCCTATTCCGACTGATAAAAAATTCTATCACACTTACGGAAACGGAATATGATATTATCATAAAAACGAATAATATTAAATAAATCATAATGAAAACATAAAACGCAGAGATAAAACCCATTTAAAATAAAACAGAATTCTGCAAGCCAGAACTCATTTGATACTAATATGGACCGGTCAAAGATGGTCGCGTGGCATGTCTTCTTAACTGAAGAAGGCGGCTTTCCGAACCCGGTGCACGGGGCAGAATCCATTTGTGCAAACTCACTTCCGTGGAAAGAGCGAATAAGTGACTGTTTGGTAAGATGAGTTGATCACGCTGCAGTTGATTCAGTATAGCCCCTAAATAATTGACAGCCGCAACAATTCGGCTCTGCAGTTTTCCGTAGATCGTCAGATCCCGTCCCAATCGACCCGGACTGAAATGTTGACTTTTAGTGCTGACTGAATTGAACTCGTACAGGGGCAAACAATCACCCAGCGTGACCTGGATGTCGAACCGATTTTCCAGGGCTGTCAAGTGACGTTTTGTCGCGTAGTTTGTTGCGTCCTGTTTAAATGCTTTGTACATCGTCATTGTTTGAGGCATTTCGGCTTTTTCACACCAGTGAATGAATTCCTCCTCTGACAGACTTTGCAAATCCAAATCGTACAGATCCAAGAACATCAGGCGAGTCATTTCACTTTCCAAAAGTTTAAGTCGAAGCTGATAGGTCAGCGGTTCCGGTTTGAATGGCGGTGAACATTTATCGGGATGAAGTAGAGACCCACTGATTGAATCACCAGCCAACTGAATTCTTGTTGATTCCAATGCTATCGACTCCACTTCGGAATCATGATCACCGAACAAAATTGGTTTCGGATTCGATTTCACAGTTCTGGGCGGTGGATCGCATACTGCCGGGAGGATTGTGAATTGTTCACGATTAATTGTGGCTCTCGGGACCAGACTGTGCTTTTGGCATTTGATGATTGGTGTTGTGGAGTCGCTAGATAAACTGAGAACTTTAATTGCAGGTTTATGAGCACCGTGAGGTAGTTTGAGTTTTGAAGCAATTCGTGACAGACTAATACCCATGGGGATGTACACCTCTGGATACCACTAATACTATCCAGCCAAAAATGTGATCTAGTTTTGAACGCCGAAGTATTATTTATTATCGATCGCATCTGAAGGTCAAATTAGTGGACACGTGAATTACGGTCCCGAGTTAATTCTCGAGAAACTGAACCTAAATGTTTTTCTCTTATTGTGACCTCCGTAGCTAAAAATAAACACTAACCGTCAAAAAGCATGATGAATAAAACAGTTTCGAACAGAGAAGGAGGAATACAAATAAATTAAACATCAGGCTTCAAACGGAGCTCACCGATAACTTTCTCTCTCTACCGTCGCATTTTAGAACATGCGAGATACAGAACAAGCAATTCTTTCTGGAGGTTAACATGCGATTGACTATACCGGAAACGAGAGAGAGAAGAGGAATGGGCTCGGAAAATGGGTGAATGAATAGAGATGCTACCGGTCGCTATAGCGAGGTCTTATAAGACCTCCATGAGCGAGCTTTGCACAGGAGGATGTATGTTCTACTGTGAGATTTCCGACCCCCCCCCGGCTACTTAAACGAGATCCTGAAATTTCAATCCTCCCCTCTGTCTAACGATTACCAGTTGAGTCTCTCCAATCATCGTGAGTCAGTTAGTTATGAAACTTTCAGATCATCACATAACTTCTTGCGTGAATTTTGCGGAAGAGATTGATGGTTCTCTGTCATTCCCACCTGATCCGGCATTCTGAATTATGTCACATACCATCTAGTAGAAACGCTTGCCGAATTTCACCTGTAAGGAATCTTGTGTGTGCACTTGTTCAGAGAGAGAGAGAGAGAGGGAGAGAGAGAAATAACACAGTAACTGAAATGTAACCTAAGCTTGAAACAACTTAGTTTTATGGTATCTGTGATTCAATCTCTTTTTTGGGTAGTATATCCAGTGTGATGGTTGATTCATACAACCTTTTACTGAAATGTAAATTGTTGTTCTCGCACAATACATGACGAGCAGAACTGGAGAAACATGAGTGATGATTGACAGGGCTATGCGCTAGATTCTAAAACTTTTGTTTTTCCGGCGATCGAAATTGTTCGCATTTGATTTGCCGCAGAGATGAGAGTATCATTTCTCTAGCATAGGATTGAATATTGAACGACCAAGGCACAGTTGGGTACAAGATAACTCCGGATTAGGAAGAACATGTGTGAATTTCCGATAAATTGTAGGAAAATGCATGGAAGTCTGCTGGATAGAAAGCGACTTGGCCTAGTACAGAATCATCTATATATTATAAACGTGCATGGTAGATAAGTCAATTGCATAGGAGTTTGCATGTGAGCTGTGTCGGCTGAAGGTCAACCAGTCACCTGAATCTGATAATATGCACCGGTTATCCTGAGGGAGTTGGCAGACAAACTTGCAATATGTCCAAATTGTCTTGCCCCGAAAGACGTTAACCGTGACAGTGAAATGACGTTATCATTGTATCAATATCCAAAATTGGAGACAATAATGACTCTGGCAACTACTGGCCATTCAGGCTAACTAGCATAATGGGCAAAATGGTGGAACAACTAGTGGTTGCACGTTTTCGACAGCATTTGGTGTACCGTGGTCATCAGTGGCCCTAACGACGCGGTTTAATCCCCGGTTTCTCATACTCCTGGCTCTCGAATGCTGGAATGAGAACAAGACACTAAGACACAAAATCGCCATTATCCTTATGGACGTCAGCAAGTCCTTTGACTAAATCATCGCAGTATTCTCACAGAGAAACTAACTAGCCTTGGATTAGGTGTGACAGCCCATGCTGAAATGGCTGTAAGATTGCCTCACCGATGAGTAATTCTACATCCGCGTTGCCAGGTCGCTATCCCCACGAAACATTGTCTCCAAAGCTCTGTTCTTCGTCCGCTCCTGTTCGTGGCTTTTTCAGTGTGCGGTGAGTCAACCCCCCGGGATTACGTCAGTCAGACGGCTACGCGTTCCGGTTTCTGGATACCGGACAGCAGACCAACAGCATCGATCAGTCAATGATCATACTGTTCAAGCGGAAGCCGTGTGGTTCAGGGAACAAGAAAGACGATTGATTGATGTCCGTTTAACGAATACTACATCGATTTGCATCTTATTTAATCCCAGCGGTTTATTTCAATCAGTGAATCGCCACTTCTGTGGCCTTCTTCCTGTATGAACAACACAACCACACGAATTGAACAGCAGATCGCAGTCATTATAAATAGATCATAAATTTCATCGAAGTGGTTTCCAATCCACGCTGAATTGATTGCTCAACAGATTCCAAAGCAGAAACTTCATGGATTGCATAATCGGATACAACGATCACGTAACCACATTCAAGTGAAATAACAATGACCGGTTACTTCTGTGCGGTTTTCCCTACAATTCACATGGGCTCATGCGCTGACTGTATGCGTATGTTGTGTATGTTGTTTGGAATACAGTCTGGAATTAGACGAATATAATAATAACACTAATAATAATACTAATGAGGGTGAAAAGTGGCAAATTTTAAAGTCAAAAAAGGGATCGGAATACATCGAGATGATCCCCCCTCACACATATTTTGCTCCCATCATACTACTTTGTCATCTGGCTTCGTTGAGCATACTGACCATCCGACACAACGCATCAACTGTATTATTGGACTACAGCTCACGGAGAACACTTGATTGTAAGACCAGGAAGAAATCAGAGATTGTCTTCGTCTTCAACATTAACTTTCACTTCCATCATCCATCTAACAACGAGGATTGAACATCTTACTAGGCTCTGAGTCAACTCACGTACACAATAGACCATTGAACTGAAAGCTTTTAATTTGGATTCAAAATTGACCATTGATACTTATTTATGGTTGAGTATATTTCACTCGATGACGTAACTGACTGCCAAGCCACTCGACTTTCCGATAAAATTTATCCAAAATTAAGAATTAAACGAATCGCTACAAGGATTCAAGTTTTACATATGCTCAACTGATTTCAGTGTTCGGAAAGTAACTCACAAATTCACTTGTTTAATAACGATATCAATAATATTTCAAAATTTGATTGATATGATAAAATGTACAATCGATTGTCGTGAAGCTGGGGAGTTTCAGATGAAAGGTTACCACAGACTATGGAGAAAATGGTCAATATGGGCCCATAGGCCACTGTATTTGTAACAAAAAGCTGGGGAGGCAAAACGGAGAACATAAATCGTTATTAAGTAGTTGTGATTTTTCAAGTCAACCCGAAAAATGCAAGTAGCGGGTTGAACCACCATGAATACAATGTTTGTCGGGCAATGGTCTGGCTAATTATTAGTTTGTTGAAGACAAAATAGATTAAAACTCAAACAACGTGTGCACTGCGATCCACGCCGTCAACAATGAACACTCTCACCAAAACAGTTCAGCTGCATGTAATCCAGACCGGTACAACGACGCCCATTGTTACTCGGGGCTGGAGAATTACATTTTCGAGTACGAGTTCGAATCCCAGGGACTGAAACGCATTGGGAGCTGCAACTGCTCCAGGCAGACCAAGTGGACCATGCACCATCGCCTGAAATGATACAAAAGAACAAACATTGGAGGAAAGCCGGGAGGCGAAGTTGACAAAACTGATGTGTCAGCCCAGCAAAAGGGGTGTACTTTCAACAGAAAATAGTCCTAATACAGATTTGACTTACGCTTGCTGTGTACACTGTCATATGCGATGATCATTTCGTCCTGTTTACTCAAACTAACGTTTAGGGCCCTACTATTTGACTGCTTTTATTGCAATGTAAAATGAGTAAACGGGCATTTTGGGATTCGCAGTCACGAATTTTTAATTTGAGTGTGAAAAGATCAGTTCCATCGATGTGGCCTCGTAGCTCAGATGGTAGAGCGTGCGCGTCTAAAGCGTAGACGGCGTCCATGTGTGGGTTCGAATCCCACCGAGGCTACTGAACTTTTCACAATCGACACACAAAACTTCAAATCTGCTAAACAACATTTTGAATAAACAAAAAAAGACATTTCACTTCATCGTAATTTGAAGAGTCTATTGGGGAATAAACGACTGGTGAGTTGAGTGTTCGAAACTGAACGAAACCATACGGAGCGAACTTCCAAACGTCTTGCGCAGACCGTCTGCCCCCGGCTCGATCTGTTCCATTGCAGCTTTTTTCCAATCTGATGATTACGGATTTGAGAACCTCGCGTTAACAGTTTCACATGAAACATAATGAGAACAGGCAAAGTGACCGACAATGTCTTTTTAGTGCTGCATATGCATTCCCAATCCAAACAAACACGAAGTATGTAACTAATTACCGGTGGATTTTCAAAAAATCTGGGATCCTAATTGGACTGTGTTAAACTTCAACTCATAATTGTTGCCTACTTTGAATGTGGTTCTCTTTAAAGAGTCAATTCACATTTGTATGGATGTTCGCGACGTGTCATTTTGTCGACAGTTCGGCTGGGCGAACTTTGAGTACACACAGAGCGGAGAGGGGGGATATGAAGACGGATTCCAATCGCCTCTGCTGTGGCTAAACGTACTGTTTTACACTTTGTGGGTTTAATAAGGACAACTTGTATGACTTGTGATTGAACACAGTGTGTCATTCAATTCAGATGGGAAACACAAACGGTTCGGGAATCTTCACCGCAGTACAATACCGCCTCCAAAAGCAGAATCATCCGACTATTTAGAACTGAAACATTTGGTGGGCTGTATTTCCTGCAATTACTTATCTACTAGCATACTGAGCTCAAAAATCTGTTAAGAAAATGGCCATTGTCTAACCACCATCTCGGTTAGATAGGAAAACAGAAGCCTGTATGTCACGAAATATTTTTCATAGACTTACATAACACTAAATACAAGCGGTAGCCCAGAAAGGATGATGTCAATTAAGTTGGCATCCCAGGTCCTTATAGGTAAGTTACTAACGCAAATGGATTTGGGTACCCGGTCTAGGCTAACAATGTGGAGTGAATTAGAAATTCAGTGCATTAGGTTAGGC